GTGAGTTGCGACGGAGCCTCGGTCAAAGAGGTAGGACGGCTGGCGGGCGGCGGGGGGAGCGCGGAGGTGGGGTCCGCGAAGAGATGGGGGGCCTCTGGGACCGTCTGGCGTCCGGGAGGGCCCGGCAGAGGAGGGCGGGGGCTAGCCGGGTCTCGGAGGAGCTGGAGGGAAGGAGAGGTGGCTAGGGGGCGCTCAGCGAGGGTAGCTCTTGGGGAGCGCGGCGCGTGTTGGGGGGGTGCGGGTTATGCCTTGTGGCCAGGGCTGGGGGCGTGGTGGAGAGTTGGGAGGGGGACACCTTGCACCGGGAAGGGGGGAAGACCCTGGGCTTGAAGGAAATGTGCGCCCCAAGGGTCAGGGTTCGAGGCACCCAGGCGGAGTGGGGGCCTGGGTAGGGGCAGGTGGATAGCGCTGGAGCCTACTGCGTGCCTCAGAACGCCTTGTGTTCTCTGAACGCCCGGGCGTTGGGGAGGATTTCCCGCTGCCGAGATCTTCCTCCTCTTTCAGATCGAGGTGGTTGCATTTGGTTCTCCGCTTTCTGGTATTTCGCAGAGTGTGCAGTAGGTGCTCAATAAAATTTTGTTGAACCGGTGAATGAGGGACTGTCGCCTTTGCTTGCCACCTCGGGGCCGTGACTGCTCCAGAATTTCACATGGGCGGGGCTTAAGATAGGCCATCTGGTTGGAAGATAGATCTGGAAGCTGCCTCGGCTCAGCAAGTGCGCTGTTTTTACTTTGTGTTTGGTTTGGTTTGGTTTGGTTTGGTATGATTTGAGGAGCTGATAGAATTTGGGGAGTCTAGCCCTGTTCCTTGGCCTGACAATATAAAGTAACTAAATATAAAGTAACTAAATTCTAGAATTTTTTTGTGCCTTGCAAAGCTGGATTTGAAACAGCTCTGGTTGAGAAGCATTGTGTTTAGTGTCAAGACCTGAGTTCCAGCCTGCCCAGAGCAAGTCACTTAAGCTCTCCTACCCTGTTTTCTCATCTCCAAAATGGATTTGGCAGTTGACATGCTAGGGATGAACCTGAAGTTAGTGCTCAGTAACTGTAATCTATTGGTTGCTGTGGTCCTTAAGAGAATGTTTGGGTCTGAGAAGAGAAGGCTGAACGGTGCCCGGGCCTGGGTTCAAGGCTACTGAGGAGTTGGATAGGAAAGGCTGGCCAGGCAGTACCCTCACAAGGGGAGAAGAAGCTGGGGTGCCAGCCTGTCTAGGGAGAGATGCTGGGATGGAGCTGAGATGAGCCTCTCACTGGTCCATTCCCTCGCTTACGAAAGGAGCTGGCCCTGCCAGCAGGTGGCGTGGTGGTTAAGGCGCTGGACTCCCACAGGGCTGACTGCGGGTGGAGTCTCGGACCTGGCAGCTTGCTTTCTCACTTTCTGTCTGTCTTTCTCTGTGGTGAGCATATATGCCCTATAGCAAATAATAAATAATAATAAAGTAAAATAATTCCCCCCAAAAAGAAAGAAGCTGCTTTTTGCAGCTGAAGGGATGGAGTGGAGACTACAGAAAGGTCTGGAGGTGAGAGCAAGAGTGTACCGAGGCTTTGGCAGAAGAGGCAGGGTCCCTGGTGGGTGGAGCTCACGCAGCCCCCAGGGTGACCTCTGCCTCTCTCCATCACAGTTCAAAGAGGAAATCTCCCGGAGGTTTAAGGCTCAGCAGGATCAACTGGTCCTGATCTTCGCAGGCAAGATCCTCAAGGATGGGGACACACTGCACCAGCATGGGATCAAGGACGGGCTCACTGTCCATCTGGTCATCAAGACCCCACAGAAGTAAGCTCAGGAGGGGAGCAGAGCCAGCCAGTGGCCTCCCCATCCGATACCTTCTCACCCATTGCTCAGCCATGTGGGCCTGTGCCCAGGCCCAGGCAGGGGGCCCTGGGGAAGCTATGCTGTCACCTCCGGGGGACGGGAGCCTGACTTACCACCCAGAGTGCCCTGAAGATAGATGATGCCAGCTCCTTCCTGCCTTCCCTGTCAGCCCTCAGCATCACCCAGGCCAGCCCCAGGGTACCGAGGAAGTGGCTCCCAGAGTACGTGTTACCTATCCCCTCTTCTGCTCACTCCAGCTGGATTCTCCTTTCTCTATCCTCAGGGCTCCAGACCCAGCTGCCGCTGCCGTGTCTTCCCCCTCCACTCCTGACCCTGCCTCAGCACCCTCCACCACACCTGCGTCTCCTGCCACCCCTGCCCAGCCCTCCACCTCTGGCAGTGCCAGTTCAGATGCTGGCAGTGGAAGCCGGAGGAGCAGCGGAGGGGGTCCCTCCCCACCCGGGGAGGGACCCCCCAGTGCTACCACATCCATACTCTGTAAGCCCTTGGAGGGGGGTGGGCACAGCCTTGCTTTGGGCTGGGGAGCGGGGTGAGCCAAGAGGAGGGAGATACATGTCCTTGCTCCTGGTCTCAAGGGGACAGCGGGCCAACTCCTGGGTGTGGGTTCCAGACATTGGTACTTGAGATGGACTGGGGAGGAAAGCAGTGTGTAAGGACTTCTCAGAGGGAGGAGGGAATTGGGGCTGGCGTGGTCTGGGGGAAAGGTGGTCCAACAGCAGCCAGGTGGGGAGTGTTCACCTGCCCACCCAGCAGGCTGTCACTGGCCACCTTTCCTCTGCTCAGGGCTGCTTGGCTCGGCCTCTGCAGCCAACGAGGAGGCTCACGCCACCCTAGCTGTGGCTCAGGCCTGGGCTGTGGGAGAGAGCAGGGGAGCTGTGGGGAGCAGCAGGGGCCCCTTCTGGAGACCTGCAGTCATGGCTCTGGCTACGTGGGGGAAGGCTCTCGTAGCAGACTGTGACCCTGCCCCCTCCCCACAGCTGGCTTTGGGGGCATCCTGGGGCTAGGCAGCCTGGGCCTGGGCTCTGCCAACTTCATGGAGCTGCAGCAGCAGATGCAGAGGCAGCTGATGTCCAACCCCGAGATGCTGTCGCAGATCATGGAGAACCCCCTGGTGCAGGACATGATGTCCAACCCTGACCTGATGCGCCACATGATCATGGCCAACCCCCAGATGCAGCAGCTGATGGAGCGGAACCCTGAGATCAGCCACATGCTCAACAACCCCGAGCTCATGAGGCAGGTGGGTACGAGAGCTGACTGGAGGGACAGGACCCCTGATGTCAGCCAGGCCCTGCCCGGCCTTTCCTGCCCAGTCCTGCATCGACCGGGTCGTTCGTTCGTCCAGCGGCCACGTTTTGCACACAAGAGGTGCAGTGTTGCAAGACACAGGCCTAGCTTTTCAGGAACTCTTGGCCTCAGAAGGAAGTTGGCCG